TCGAGCCTGCAACCCGGGCATGTGCCCTGACTAGGAATCGAACCTTGTCCTCTTGGTTCATAGGTCTACGTTCAACCACTGAGCTATGCCGGCCGGGCTACCTTAATTTTTTATTATGAAAAAATTTAAGTATATACAAAAACAGAGAGAAGATTATAAAGAACTCCTCTGTTACTAATCACCCAGATTTAGTAATTATCAATGTTTTGAAATACTTGTCATATTTGTTTTTTGAAGGAGTAGAACTGTGTTAATGAAAATCTTATACTGTTTTTCATTTCACTCGCAAGCTCTAAAAAATATCAATATTATCTTACATTGACCTGATTGCTATTATCGGTGTCCTCTATATTCAGTCCATATTCAAATTTCCAAAAAATCTCTTAAAAATTTCTTCTTATAACTATTTTGTTCTAATCCAATTTTATACAAGATCTCCACATTGTATTTCATTATTATGTCTCTCCAGTCTTTTTAATTAAAAATATTTTTTAGCCGAAACCGGTTTGGCTCAGTGGATAGAGCATCGGCCTGCGGACTGAAGGGTCCTGGGTTCGATTCCGGTCAAGGGCATGTACCTTGGTTGCGGGCACATCCCCAGTGGGGGGTGTGCAGGAGGCAGCTGATCGATGTTTCTCTCTCATCCATGTTTCTAACTCTCTATCTCTCTCCTTTCCTCTCTGTAAAAAATCAATAAAATATATTTAAAAAAAATATTTTTTAATTATTTATTTTAAAAATTAAATTTATTGGAGTGACATTGGCTAATAAGATCATATAGGTTTCAAGTGTACATTTCTATGATACATTATCTGTATATAGCACTGTGTGACCACCACCCAAAGTCAAATCGTCTTCCATCACCATATATTAGGCCCCCTTTACCCATTACTGCCTCTCACCCCCTTCCCTCTGGTAACCACCATACAGTTGTTGGTATCTATGAGTTTCAGCTTTATGTCCCACATATGAGTGAAATTATACTGTTCTTAGCTTTTTCTAACTTATTTCATTTAGCATAATATTCTCAAAATCAATACATGTCACAAATGGCAGTATTTCATCTTTTTAAAAAATATATTGATTTCAGAGAGGAAGAGAGAGGGAGAGAGAGATAGAAACATCAATGATGAGCGAGAATCATTGATCGGCTGCCTCCTGCATGTCCCCAGTGGGGATCAAGCCTGCAACCCGGGCATGGGCCCTGACTGGGAATTGAACCATGACCTCTTGGTTCATAGGTTGACACTCAACCACTGAGACACACCGGCTGGGCAGTATTTCATCTTTTCTTATGGCTAGGTAGTATCCTATAGTATAAATTTACCACATCTTCTTTATCTAATCCTCTATCAAAGGACACTTTAGTTGTCTCCATGACTTGGCCACTGTGAACAATGCTGCAATGAACATAGAGGTATACATATCTTTGTGAATAAATGTGGGCTTTTTTGTTTGTTTTTCTTAGTTTTCCGGGTAGATATCCAGAAGAGAGATTGCTGAGTTATATGATAACTCTTAATTCTTAATTTTTTGAGGATCTGCCATGTTGTTTTTTATTTTTTATTTTTTTTTAAAAAAATATATTTTATTGATTTTTTACAGAGAGGAAGGGAGAGAGATAGTTAGAAACATCGATCAGCTGCCTCCTGCACATCTCCTACTGGGGATGTGCCCGCAACCCAGGTACATGCCCTTGACCGGAATCGAACCCGGGACCTTTCCGTCTGCAGGCTGACGCTCTATCCACTGAGCCAAACCGGTTTCGGCTGCCATGTTGTTTTTTATAGTGGCTGTACCGGTTTAAATTCCCATCAGCAGTGAATCAGGGTTCTTTTCTTTTATATATATATAATTTCAGAGAGAAAGAGAGAGGGCGAGAGAGATAGAAACATCAGTGATGAGAGAGAATCATTGATTGGCTGCCTCCTGCATTCCCCCTACTGGGGATTGAGCCCTTCAGTCCGCAGGCCGGTGCTCTATCCACTGAGCCAAACCAGCTAGGGCAGCGGTTCTCAACCTGTGGGTGGCGACCCCTTTGGTGGTCGAACGATCCTTTCATAGGAGTCGCCTAAGACCATCGGAAAACACATATATAATTACGTATTGTTTTTGTGATTAATCATTATGCTTTAATTATGTTCAATTTGTAACAATGAAAATACATCCTGCATATCAGATATTTACATTATGATTCATAACAGTAGCAAAATTACAGTTTTGAAGTAGCAATGAAAATAATTTTATGGTTGGGGGTCACTACAACATGAGGAACTGTATTAAAGGGTCGCAGCATTAGGAAGGTTGAGAACCACTGAGCTAGGGCCAGGGTTCCTTTTTCTCCACAACCTCTCCAATACTTGTTATTACCTATCTTGTTGATAATAGCCATTCTAACAGGTGTGAGATGATATCTCATTGCAGTTTTTATTTGCATTTCCCTACTAGCTAGTGAAGTTAAGCATCTTTTTATATATCTGTTGGCCATTTATATGTCTTCTTAGGAGAGGTGTCTGTTCAGGTCCTCTGCCCATTTTTTAATTGGTTTCTTTGTTTGGTGTTGAGCTGTATGAATTCTTCATAAATTTTGAATATTAACCCCTGTCAGAGCTGTTATTTGCAAATATCTCCCATTCAGTTGGTTGTCTTTTTGCTTGGTTGGTGGCTTCTTTTGCTGTGCAGAAGCTTTTTAGTCTGATATAGTCCCATTCATTTATTTTTGCCTTTACTTCCTTTGCCTTTGAGGTCAAATTCATAAAATGTTCTCTAAGACCAAGGTCCATAATTTTAGTACCTATGTTTTCTTCTATGTAATTTATTGTGAAACCTTTCCTGACCACTCATTTTATTATTTGAACTCCACACGTATAACAGGGAACCCATAACACACTCTTGTGCTTATTCATTCATTTATATTTAATGAGATCAATGTCTAGCACATGAAACCTATTCAGTAAATAATTGTGTTTATTATTATTGTTATAATCACAGTCTTTTCTATCTATTATACTATAAGACCAGTGATCATATCTTGGTTGTTTTTGCATATCTCAATATCTGGTACATTTCACCTGCTCAATAAACATCTGTTACATGAATGAGTAAATAAATAAAATGTAGGATTACTCCATTCATAGACCATATTAAGTTCAGCAGAAACATTCATAAGACTGAGGAATATAAACTAACTCATGTCTTACAATTTACTCAGTGCTCCATGACTCATTTGATCAGAAATATAATATGTTCCTAGATTTAGTGTCCATTTAACACAGTACTTTGAGTCCAAATGGCAGAGAAAAGTCAAAACCTTTTTTATTGTTGACAAGCAATACAATGTCCTCAATAACCATCTTTTACCTTCTTTCCATCCTGAGCCTCTACCAACTGCAAACACATATTGAGGGGAGAGGGGGGTCAGGAACAGAACAAAGACTGGAGTGAGACTGAGGTTAGTGATAGAGTCTCAGAACCAGTGAATGGCTATTTTACATCATATTTTGTAATATTCTTACAAGCTGAAACCATTTCATGACTTATTTTATAAGCTGTGTCAAAATATTCCTGGCATCAAAATTACTTGATTTAAACATGTACCCATTTGATCTCCACAATAACATTGTGAGGGTAAACAGAGCCTGCCACCTCTGTTTTAAAGAAGAGGATGCAGGAAATTTACTCTTAACTCAGCTGGGATTATAAATTGTGATCTAAAGTTTTTAAATGCAGTATACTGGGATAATAATGCTATGTTATCCCAGCCAAGAAACAAATATTTGCTTTAAAGTAACTGTTAGATTAAAAGTACTCTTTAGATTCTTAAAGGAAATATTTGAGTGACTTCCAAACTCAAAAACCTCCAGAAGGAGGGAAATGTGTTTGTCAGCTTGTTTGTTTGTTTGTTTTTAGGTACTTGAATGACTAGCTTGCTCCTTGAAAAGCAGGGGTACAGAAATAAAAGGCCTGATTGTGCTGAATCCTTCTCTTTGGGCATTATTCAGGCTGGTTCCCAGCATGCTGCAGTCCAAAGGAAAGGGTCCAAGCACTGTTTAAAAATCTGAGACTAAAGAGCTTACTCAGCACTCTGCTCACATTAGTATTGCTTGCTTTCATCTTTAAAAGTCTTTTATTATACAGTAACCTTAGGTGGCTGGGAATATTCTCAGAATATAGGAAGCACCTCCTTGACCTAATTATGATGAAAAATGCTTTTCATCACTATCCCCTCTTTTCAAAGCCCCCTGGAACAATCAGGTTTTTAAGCATAATTGAGTGCTGGGGAAGAATTTTACAGAAGTGCAGCTTTTTGGTGGTGGTGGTGATGGTGAAGGGGCAGCTGACCCTTTTGGTGAGAATGGGAAATTTTAAAATAAAACCAACCCTTGCTGTTCACCTACCCAGAACTGATGAAGACATTCACTCTTAGGGGAAGAGGCAATTTTATTTTTAGTTCTGTTTCAGCATCTAGGAGTGAGAGTGTGTTGCAGCAATCTAGTTGAAAAGAATGCTTCTTGAATTTCCCAATTAAAAAGACTCCATAGAGCTGAGACAAAAAGAGCACCAAGGGATGCTTGATATGTCAACCTAATTACAAAAGGCAGGCTTTTCTAAGGATTGTATCTCTCTTTTAACACAAGGTGGAATGGAAAAAAGGGATTTTGGAGCAGATATCCCAGAGTAATCCCAAAGCAGAACCCTTCACACAGATTATCTAGCTTTTCTTGACAGGTGCACGGGCAGAGAAGGCATTTGGTCCTCGAGGCAGTGTTTACTCGGGGAATTACGATAATGGTGTCCAAGCTTACACGGCAATCGAGGTGACCCTGAGCGCAGGAGCAGCCCTAGGACTGCGGCACAGAAAATACGCTAGCCGATCTGTCACCCTTCCCCCCTTCCTTTCCCAGGGGATTGGAGTAGCGTTGGAGTCGCTGACGCCATCCTTTCCCGCCTCTGGCTTGCAGGGAGCATGCGCTTCCTTCCTCACTTGGTCTCAAGGAGAGTAAGGCTACGCCCTAGCGGCTCCGCGGCGGGCTCCGCGTCACAGGAACTTCAGCACCCACGGGGCGGACAGCGCTCTCCTCCACCTGCAGACCTGACTCCCGAGCGCCCAGAACCCTTTCTAGTCTCTTTACTCGCTGCGGCGTCGAGCCCCACCCGCCGCTGGGTTCCCACCACTCTTCCTCCCTGCACCCGCCCTCCTAGCTCTTCCTGTTTTTACTCCTCTTTTTCATTCATAACAAAAGCCACCGCTCCGGGAGCCCGGCGCCAGGCTGTTTCTGAGCCAAGAGTGGAAGAATGGGGTTCCTTTGGACCGGCACTTGGATTCTGGTGTTAGTGGTCCACAGCAGCCCAATTCAAGCTTTCCCCAAACCGGAAGGCAGCCAAGGTACGTGGACACTTTCCTCCCACTTCCTTTTATTCGCCACGAAGAGGTAAAGCGTGGCATAATAGATGAGCTGCAAATCACCTTGCCTCATTTTCTGATCAGATCGTATCTGTGCATATTGACAGAGAAAATCCTTCTGAATTTAGAGATAGATCCCTCCTCACTTTTTATATGATAGAGCAATAACCTGGATTGTTTTGAAAGATTTTATTTTTGCAATTGGGAGAGGGGGGGCTTTTCTGCCTTATAAAGTGGCTTGGGTGGTTAGGTTTTGTTTTCTAGTTGTCTTACAATCTTTCTCAGACACTCGATTCAGAACAAGGTTGGGGGAGAGGGAGTTCTTAATGTGCTAATAATACCAATCGAACTTATCTGTCTAATTGAAAACAGCTGGTAAGCCAAGTGTTAGAACTATATGTGAGTTTCTGGTAAAAAAAAACAACACACACAACAACAACAAGTGTAATTCTATTAACTCAGGAAATACAGCAGGATAATAAGCAAGGCAACATGATGGTCATTGTTATTGTATAATCTTGATAATCTTTGTTAACATATATTTTTGTTTCATGGTTATCCAAAATATGTCTCCTAATATTGGTTTGTCTTTATGAAGATTTTATTTTAAAGAGATATATTGTGTCTGTCCAAAACACAATTAAACTTATATTTTTGTGTTTATTCTAGACAAACTTGTACATAATAGAGAATTAAGTGCAGAAAGACCTTTAAATGAGCAGGTAAGTAAAAAATAAAATTAAAAATTCTGTTTCAATTTATTTTAGTTGTTACAATTTAATGTAATTATGTTATGACATTTTAGCCATTTTGAATTCACAAACTTCAGGGGATTAATAATAAATTGACATAAACTAGGATGGGAAATATAATTTTGGTAATATCTATATAAAACATAGAGTTGACTATATAATAATCCAGTAAGATCCACTCTATTGTAAGATTGCTTAATTTATCAGAGATTTACTTTTCATCAATAATGTAGGAGAAGGGGATTAATACCTATAGACCATCTGCCTTTTATTTTATCTCACTTACTCCTTATGATGATGCTTTGAGATATAAATTACCTATATTTTACAAACAAGAAAACTAAATCCTATGGAGATTAAATTATTTAGCTGTCATTTTTGGTAAGAGGTGGAGCAATGATTTAAAACCAGGTCTATACCCTCTTTGTTTCACAGATTGCTGAAGCAGAATCAGACAAGATTAAAAACATATACTCTCCAGGTAAAAAGAAACTGTTTTGATGTTAATTTAAGTGATGTAGGCTCTGAGAATCTTAAATAAAATGGATAATTGGGGTTTGGGGCTTTTCTTACAGAAAACAAGCCAGGTGAAAGCAATTATTCCTTTGTTGATAACTTGAACCTGCTAAAGGCAATAACAGAAAAGGAAAAAATTGAGAAAGAAAGACAATCTGTAAGAAACTCTCCATATGATAATAAATTGAATATGGAAGATGTTGATTCAACCAAAAATCGAAGACTAATAGATGATTATGATTCTACTAAGAGTGGACTGGATCATAAATTTCAAGGTAAATGGGGGGGGAATGTTGCTACTTATGTTATCTAATTTGGACTTCTTATTTTGGGTTAGGAGAAAGTCCTATATATTTTTTTAAAAATATCTCTTATATTCTCACAATCCTCTATTAATCAGGTCCAAAGTTGAGATAAAGCCCAAATTTACTGGCAATGTACAAAGCCTAGCTCCACAGAAGCCCAGATTTTATTTGTTCTTTAAAGGTCCAGATTTTATTTGTTCTTTACTGCTACTTTGAAAATATTTAAATCTACTGTCTATGTTTTATGCTATATAATATTTAGCATTTATCAAATAATTAAATCAACAGTATCCCTTTCCCAATGGTGAAATACCCATTACTCCCTTTGCAGGGTTCTCTTTCTAGCCATAGCCTTTCTCCCTAGGTCATTCTAACCTTTTCATGGCTTCCCCTTCATGGCTTCCCCTTCAGTTACCGCCTATGTCCTGACATCACATATCACTAGCCAAGACTTTTCTGAGCTATACATACATTATAATACACATATAGATACACATATCTATATATCTATATATCTATATATCTATATCTATATCTATATCTACCTACTTAATATCTTGCTTTAAAAGTCTCAGAAGCACCTCAAACTTAGCATGGCCAAGATTAATCTCATAATATCTGTACACCTTACAACCTAGCCCTCTTAGAGTGCTCTTTCTCTAAGAAAGGCATTACTTCCCATGCAATTTTTCAAGACAGAAATCTAGAAATCAAAGTACTTCTCTTTTTCCTGGCCCCTCCAATTGTAATCCACCAATCTTATCAATTTCACCTCCTGTGTCTATCAATTTTTTTTTCTCTATTTCTAATCACCAATGTCTAATCATGTCTCACTTCAACTCAGCAAACTCTTCTACTGGATCTTCCAGCATCCACTCTGCCCCTCTCCAACTCATTTTTCACGTAGCAGCCAGAGTGATCTTTTCAACACACAAACATGTTACTCTTTTGCATAAAACCCATAAATAGATTCCCATTTCTCTTGGGATAAAAACCAGAATCCTTAACATGGCTTCTGTAGTCCTGCATGGACTGGTTCCTGTCTACTTTTCTAGATTCATCAAGCACACATGATCTGATAAAAAAAAATCTTGTTCCTTTCTTCATGGCACTTAATGCAGTTTGCAATTTTACATTCCTAAGTGTGACTACTTAGGATTTATCTTTTTCTCCTAAACTAAACTGAAAACTTCACAAGAGCAGAGACGTTGTAGCCCCAGTGTCTGGGTGGTCATGAATTCATTGCATGCATTCATAAATGAATGAATGAATAAGAAAAGAATACATGAGAGAATAAATGAACTACATACCTAGGCACTGAAGAAGAGAGTGTGTTTTCCATCCTGAATACTATTGCTTAGGAGTGACTGCAGATTGTCTTATATGTCCTTGCTCTGCTCCATGGCCACAAGAGAATTATGTTGATTATTTCTGCGAGAAAACAACTGCTAACTTTTATAAGATATCACAGCCTGAAGAGATTTCAGATATATGTTGTGCATGTAATAAGGTGGGACAGATGGTTTATATTATGACACATTTTATATTGCATACTACTCCCAGAATGTTTTTTCTTGAATTCTACGTTTTAACCTAAAATATTTTGGCTAGAAATAGACACTGGGCATTGCTGTATACAAAAGAGACTAAACTACTTTGAACTGACATTTGATTTAATGAAATTTAAAAACAGTCTAATGTTTGAATTGTTTGGTCAAACCGATTGCGCATTCAGGCAGAGGCACAGATCTGTTTGTGATCTGATCACTATCTTGAGCAACTTATTTTTAAATTGTTCAACATTTTACTACCATCCCAGATGGGTTCCAAATTACCAAGTGTCCTGATGGCTCTAGGTTTCCCTTAAGAGTCATTTTAAGTCCACTTAAGATTACAGATATGATTCTTGGAGAGAAATGATTTATGAGTGAATTTCTGGTCTCCTCTCAAACCCTGGAAATCCTGGAAACAGCATTTGATAGCACCAAGGTGACTAGAACTCAGAGGCACGCAGACTTACACCCCAGAATGGGGGGAGGGACCTACCTTTTGCGGGGTGCTTTCACATCTTTAGGAAACCTCCAAATAGGCTTGTGATGAAGGGCCTATCAATTCTCCTTTTCAGTGTGTTCTGCAGCATGTGTGATTCAGGATTTTTTCCAAGTTTCTTTTATGAAGTTGTGCTTCCAGGCTCCTGTGTGCATTCACCAGACAAATGTTCATTGAGCAATTACTATGTATCAGACTGTGAACTAGACCAGCGATTTTCAACCTTTTTCATCTCCTGGCACACATAAACTAATTACTAAAATTCTGCAGCACACCAAAAAAATATATTTTTTTGCTTCTCTGACAAAAAATATAGGTAGAATTTTAATTCGTTCACTAGATGGCTATTGTTGTATTGGCTATTGACATTTTTTAAAATATATTTTTATTGATTTCAGAGAGAAAAGGAGAGAGAGAGACATCAATGATGAGAATCATTGATCAGTTGCCTCCTGCATACCCCCCACCAGGGATCGAGCCCACAACCTGGGCATGTGCCCCTGACCGGAATTGAACCTGGGACCCTTCAGTCCGCAGGCCGATGCTCTATCCACTGAGCCAAACCAGCTAAGGCTATTGTCATTTTTTTAATTTGACACTCTTAAGGGAGAAGAGGTCAGTGCCCCTGACTAAATAGTCAGGAATGGCATGTTTTTGGTTTTTTAAAAAATATATTTTATTGATTTTTTACAGAGAGGAAGGGAGAGGAATAGAGAGCCAGAAACATCAATGAGAGAGAAACATTGATCAGCTGCCTCCTGCACGCCCCCCACTGGGGATGTGCCCGCAACCAAGGTACATGCCCTTGACCGGAATCGAACCCGGGACCCTTCAGTCCATGGACCGACGCTCTATCCACTGAGCCAAACCGGTTCTTGCAGGAATGGCATGTTTTTAAAAAAAATTCTTGTGGCACACAGGTTGAAAACCGCTGAACTAGACAATAAGCTCTGTGCAGTTAGGGACCAAGCCTAAACTCTTTGTCACTCTATTTTCAGTTCTGGCTTATATTAAGACTTTCATAAAAATGTATTGAGCAAATGAATGTCAAGTGCCATATTAGATGCTGGAGATTCAAAACATAACTTGGCAAAACCTAACCAGGCAGAACATGGCCCTTTTACATTCACTTCTTAGAATGTTATAGCTGCTTTTAAAATGTTATAAATGTTGAACTCATGTTTGGCTTCCTCTTGATGGTCTATAGAGGAGGGTGAAATACCCCTTCACGAGCATCAGAGAAATCATTCTGAGTAATTCCGTCCATTTTAGAGGAGCCAGGGGAAATCAGTGGAAGGTAAGGAGCAAGGCCCAAGGGTTGTTATTGACTCCATCCAGCAAAGCTCTGCTAAGGGAGGCCTAAGTTCTTGGTTGAAGGCTATACAGCAGTGCAGCAGAGGAAAGAGGCCATTTCTTGAGTGTTGCTAATGTTCTCCCTGTTGTGAATTAAATGTACTGAAAAGCTGTCATCTCAGTTATTTATTTCCCTTCCCATTTATCCCTTGGGGTATGAAAAAAGGAAGACTATTGGTAGCTCCAGCAGGCAACCAATAGTCTTCCTTTTTCAGATCCTGACGATAAGTGGGAAGGGAAATAAATTCTTCTAATTCTGCATAGACCCAGGCAGTTTCTGTTCCACCTATTCCCAACAGTCTGACCTGTAACCCACAAATGGGGGGAAAAAATCAAACAGAACTGAGAGTGGGTCTCTATTCCTGAAAAAACAAAACAACCACCACCACAAAACACCCAGATGATGAATCCAATTTTCAGTCAGCCAGGAGAGGAACTGATTTTACAGAATGTTTGTGTTCATTAGTTACTCTGGTTCACAGGGTTCAAAGGGATCAGAGTTCATGGGTTGGTTGACAGTTTATAACCCCAATATAATGCCAGAAAACATCCAGTCCTCCCGGCATAATCACCCCATTTATTTTTCTTGGCTTCTTTCCAAACAACAAGACAATAGTCAGCTGAGGCTGCATAGACTTCCATCTCCACAGAATCGGAAAGACCATGGACAACGTTTCTTGTTCGAATCCCCAGAAGCCATGGAAGGAAGAGGCAGAATCAGAATAGCAATACTAGGTTCTTCCTTTAAGAGAATATGGTCAGAATTATTTGGGCAGAATTTGGCCAGGGATTCAATGTTTATTTTCTCTAGAAGATAATTGCAGTTCCTTTATTTCAAGTACAAATCCATTGTCTGCTACAGTAACACTACATTAACTTTCATATAATACTTTGCAATTGAAAATGTGCTTTTACATCTTATTTCATCTTATCCTCACAATCCCATGAAATAGATACTCTTATTATATTCCTCTAGAGCAGCCTAAGGATATATAGGTAACAAGACGTATCTCTGGAGCTATAATTCTGATCTTTCCAATCTGCCTAGAGGTGACAAGGGGAGTTAAGTGCCCTGTAGGCTGCACATATGAGTAGACTGCTCCATGTGATATAGATTGGAAAAGACCAGTTGACTCCTGGGAGTTCTCCGAGGACGAGGTACAGTGCTTCCTTGTCACCAACCCTACTGCATCCTCCCTTCCCTGAAGTAATGCTACCAAAGTATTCCCAGGAGAGCCAAGGATACATAGTTGTAGTCTTCTCTGCAGGCATTTACATAGATTTACATACTGCTTTGTGCAAATCTGTTGTCACATTTTAAAAGTTTAAATTCCAGGCACATAAATTAAGTTCCCTATTCTCTAGAGAAAGAGGCTTGTTACACTGAGATACTTTATATAAAGGCACTCTGGCACATGTTCACATAGAAGTAAACATTTAGGCTCTGGCTGGGTAGCTCAGTTAGTTAGAGCATTGTCCCAATATGCCAAGGTTGTGGGTTCGATCCCTGGTCAGGGCATATACAAGAATCAACCAATGAATGCATAAACAAGTGGAACAATAAATCAATGTTTCTCTCTGTGTGTCTCTATTCCTCTTACTCCAAAAAGAAAAAAATCAATAAATTTTAAAAAATTTAAAAAGAAGTAAACATTGCCGAAACCGGTTTGGCTCAGTGGATGGAGCGTCGGCCTGCGGACTGAAGGGTCCCGGGTTCGATTCCGGTCAAGGGCATGTACCTGGGTTGCGGGCACATCCCCAGTGGGAGATGTGCAGGAGGCAGCTGATCGATGTTTCTCTCTCATCGATGTTTCTAACTCTCTATCTCTCTCCCTTCCTCTCTGTAAAAAATCAATAAAATATATTTAAAAAAAAAAAAAGAAGTAAACATTTATTCCAGGTAAGTCATTAAATCTTGAGTACACACTCTCTGATTCTAGGTGTGAGGCAGGTTCCCTCCACCCACTCGGTCCATGAATTGGCCTGCCAATGGGGTACATACTACTAATCTACTCCTTACATGGAAATAGAATATCATTATTTGATATATAGAAGGGTGCTTTAAGCAATATGGCATACTACATAAATATGGCATACTTCAAAATTAGAAGTATAATATTTGTATTATTAGTGATAATAAAAAATAGAGAGGCCTTTTGTGTTGACTTCAGATTTTTCTGCCTCTTATAATCACATCAGAGGCTTTCAGAATTTTCATTGTCATCCTAGTTTCTTCACTTGACATCAAATTTTATTTTCAAACCAAAAGTTTCTGTGGACCAAGCACCACTATAAATATATTCCAAACCTATTAAAGTGTATAAGAGCAAGGTATAGATTAGGAATCTAATATGATCCAAAAAATAGAACTATGTTTTCACCATGATGTGAAATTGTGATTGCTCTGTCCAGATGATCCAGATGGCCTTCATCAGCTAGACGGAACTCCTTTAACTGCTGAAGACATTGTCCAGAAAATCGCCACCAGAATTTATGAGGAAAATGACAGAGGAGTATTTGACAAGATCGTTTCTAAACTCCTGAATCTTGGCCTAGTGAGTCACATGCATGAAAATAAACCAAATTCTTAATACAGTTTGGAATATGCTAAGAAGCTGAGCCATTTGATTCCAATAGCCAAATGTTTATAATGTGTCTACTTTATACTAGGTACCACAGGTTTCCAGGACAATAAGGCACCATTCTTTCCCTCTAGAAAAGTATAGTCTATCAGAGGAATTAGACAAGTACACCACGCATATGGTGGAAGCTACATAAGAACCATAAGATCATTGTTTGCCAGAGGATGAATTATATCCACTTGAGCTATAAGGAAAAGCTTCAGAGGAGGAGGTGTTGGAAGTGAGCTTAGAAGGATGGTTAGGATTTAACCAGTTTAAGTAACAGACATGTGTGAGGTAAGAAGGAAATAGCATGAACAAAGGCATGCAATACTTAAGAAACTAAGCAATCCAGTTTGACTCTGCCTCAGCTTGGCTCCCAGCCTTACACAGCCCTCGCAGGCTACAGCGGGGTACTAAATTTGCAGGTTTCAAAGGTTACCTGACTATGACTTGCAGCTGAGGGTTGAGAAACTATCCCCAAGATGTGTCTCAAAGTAAGTGTTCTGTGGGTTCCAACAGACAAGACTGACCACCTGCATGGTGACCCCAAAGACACTTCTTCCCAGGAGTGCTGGTCAATCACGATGAAGACCTACCTGTATGGAGGCATAAACAAGGGTTGTCTGAAGGGGGGTCAGAAGATTCTCTTGTCTTCTAGAACTCTGTTCAACTACAGAGTTTATTCTAGATATTTTTTTAACCATAAAAATGGGAATAACAGTCACATTTGTTTTTACTATAACAGATCACAGAAAGCCAGGCTCATACACTGGAAGATGAAGTAGCAGAGGTTTTACAAAAATTAATCTCGAAGGAAGCCAACAGTTATGAGGAGAAACCCAATAAACCTATAAGCAAGACTGAGACTCAGAGTGGAAAAATACCAGAGAAAGTGGTATGTATATGTGAATATATATGAGTATGCTATGTGCACGTGCATGGACATGAATGTGTGTGTGTGTGTGTGTGTACTCTAATCTGCATATAATTAATACAATCTGTATATAATTAGTACCTCACTTGGTGCCAAAGAAGATTTTGGGTATGTGATATTTTTAGCCCACCTAAATATTCATGAAATACCAATAACTTAAAAGATATAAATGAACTCTACTTTGAAAATAATTTTGAGATCATGTGATATTATATTACACTAGAGGCCCAGTGCATGAAGTTCATGCAGGGGGTGGGGGTTGTCCCCTCAGCCCAGCTTGCACCCTCTCCAATCCGGGACCCCTTGGGGGATGTCCGTCTCACAATCTGGGACTGCTGGCTCCTAACTGCTCACCTGCCTGCCTGCCTGATCACTCCTAACTGCCCCCCCCCCGCCAGCCTGGTCGCCCCCAACTGCCCCCCCTGCTGGCCTGGTTGCTCTCAACTGCCCCCCTCTGTGTCCTGGTTGCCCCTAACTGCCTCCCCCTGCCAGGCTGGTCACCCCCAACTGCCCCCCTGCCAGCCTGGTTGCCCCATGAAGCCTGCTGTTCAGTCATTTGGTCATCCCTCACTAACCCCCCTGCCAGCCTTGTCGCCCCAAGCAGCCTGCTGTTCGGTCGTTACTGTGATGGAGTCCTGGACAATTTGCACATTCCTCTATTATTAGTATAGATAGTAAAGGTCACATCTTATATCCTGCAGTATAATAACACATAATATTATGTAAAATGGTTATTTCACATAACAACTATTTGTATAATCCCAGTGTACTGAAATTAAATATTTCATAGCTCTTTTGGTATCCAACTTTTGTTCACTGTGGATATCATTATATGCCCCAAAATTATTTTTTTTAATTAAAAGCTCAGGTTGACTTGATCTTCTGCCACACCCACTTTTATATCCCCCAGACCTGGTTGCCTGAGCTACCTCTACTCTACCCTGTGCTCCTTCACCTGCTCCTTCCTCTTTTCATTGGTTCAAAGGTCTATCATCCTTTACTTAGACCAGTCACTCATTCTTTCTTTCCCTTGCTGGACTCCTTGCCTCTTCATCTCTTCTTTAATCTCAGCCAAACTGCTGAAATTTTTGTCTTCTCCTTGAATTCTCTTTAAAACTCTAGATCTCCTCACCTTTTCTTTGATTTTCTCCATCAGAATACCCAGACCCCATGGCCTCTCATCCCCTTCAACATCCTATCCCAAACACAAGGAAAAAGAGTATATAGGCTTACATACTCCTGTTTTAGAGGGGGCTAGGACACATAAATTGGGTCTTGGTTTTTGTTATTAGGTAGTCTAAAAGCTCTCTTTTGTTCTTCCTACTTCCAATCCCCATCAGCTGCCATCTTTTAAAACAGTTTTTGAAGATCTAGCCACTGTAAAAAAAAAAAACTTTCTAGCTTTATCAAAGAACTCATGACTTTCATTCAATCTTACCAGTCTGAACTGAAACTGATATAGCTATTTTCACTATCTTTTACTCCAATTATATACTCCTTATGTCCCATCTCTAAAATGTCCATATTCTTCACCTGTTCACTCATGTTATCTAAATGCATCAATGTAAATAAAAAGCAAATGAAATGTTTTTAAATAAATATTTATTTAGGTACCAGCCCTGGCTGATGTGGTTAAGTGGTTAGAGTGTTGGCCTGCTCACTGAAGAGTCAAAGATTCGGCTCCCGGTCAAGGGCATGTACCAGGTTGCAGGTTGACTCCTCACCCATGAACAGGGCATGTGCAGGAGGCAACCAGTTGATGTGGCTCTCTCACATCGATATCTCTCTCACTCCCCCCCCCCCCCCGGAAAAAATGCAATGGAATAAATATTTATTGTACCAAGCACTAGGAATATAATGCTCATATAAAAAGGCATAATCCCTGCTCTCAAGAAGCTTAAGATCTAATGGAAAGGGTAGATGGTTTTCAAATAGCCATGTATTTTAATTGCAACTGCATTAAGTGCTCTGAGGAAAGAAACATGGTTTTATGAGCACTTATTTAAAAAAAAGGAACTTGTCTTGGACTTAGGCTCAAGGAAGGCTTCCCTAAGAAAGTGACCTGAGCTGAAAACTGAAGGCTGAAGAGGAATTAACTTGTGACCATGAGAGTCAGCATGTAAAAAAGGATGTGTGGAGTATCCAAGTAGCTAAAACAAGCACAATGTGGCTGGAACATAGGGAGAGAGCAATGAGAGATGAGACTGGGGAGGTGGACCCAGGTCTGACCAGTCAGGGCCTTATGAGCCATGTATGGATTCTGATCTTTATTATAACAATGGAAAAACACCAAAGGATTATAAGCAAAGGGGTTACATAGTCAGTTTTTTCAACAACTCTGGGTACAAATGCAGAAAATGCAGTATTGGGAATAGATTAGAGGTGGGTAGTATACCAGTTAGAAGGTAAGAGATGAAGGCAGCTTGGACTAGAGTTGGGTAGGGAGAAAGAGAGAAACGTACAAATTTGGAATAAATTTTGAAGGTAGGTCTAAAAGGGCTACTGATGGATTGTATGGAAGAAAAGGAAGAGTAAGAAGCAAAAAAAGATTATAAATTTCTGTCTGGTTCACTGAATGGAGAATGGATCGCTAATATGAGGACCCTGGGCATGGATCAAGTCTAGGAAAAAGAGTCTTGTGCATCTTTCTAGACACCCCTTAAAATGTCACCCAAAAATCTCCAAGGTGTGACTGCTCTACTCCTGTTAGATATTCTGACAAGGTTTCCTATACCTTGCACCATCTTTCTTGGTAGAAACTGTGAACTCAAAGCTCCTCTTTTTGGTGAAAGGCAATTTTACCAGGAAACAGTCATGATAATTGATGGAGGGGAACTCGGCCAGAGCAGAAGTCTAGAAATTCCCTAATTTCCCCCTGAGCAGGATCCAGGGTCTTCAGTCTCTATGTCCCAGTGAATTTTCCATGTGACTAGATGTCCATCCTCATGCCTAGAAAAGGGTTTGATCCTGCAGGAGCAGGCAAAGGAGGAAGTATTCTTTTTTTTATAATTCTTTATTGTTGAAAGTATCACATATTTTTCCTTTTTTCCCCCATTGACCTCTCCCCACTCCCTCTTGCCCCCCCAGCACATGCTCTCCCCACCCCCTGCCATCCCCCAGCACATGCCCTCACCCCCCTATTGTCTGCATGCATACAAGTCCTTTGGTTGATCTCTTAGGATGAAGTATTCTTGTATTTCACAGTCAAGGGCACAACAGAGGAAAGAATCAAACTGGAGTGGCATTAGTTCTAACAAAATGTTTCTTTTTCATTGATTTTTAAATTCCCACTGGAGATTCCAATGGCAGCAATTCAAGATGGTTTTGCTAATGGAGAAAATGATGAAACAGTATCTAACACCTTAACCTTGACAAATGGCTTAGAAAGGAGAACGAAAACCTACAGTGAAGACAACTTTGAGGAACTCCAATATTTTCCAAACTTCTATGCACTCCTGAAAAGTATTGATTCAGGTAACAACTGTTTTCCGACCATGTGGAACAGAAACAGTAGTTCCAGGAAATGTGTGGGTGGTTCTCTCTTCCTGTTTTCAGTTTCCAAATGTAATCCTCAATGACATATTGTGGCCTTGGGGAAAATAGTTCATATCAATTTTTTCTAAAGAATGTACTAGTCATGGTAATATTTAGGAAAGGATAATCAGGAAAGGTGGAGTTTCTGGACAATTTAATCTTCTTGTTAACAGAGGGCTCATTTATTTGTTCAACAAACAGTTATGGAACATGTGCTGCGTTGATGGTACTGGAGTGAATCTTGTGCAGGTGTGTAGATGAATCAATGTCCCAGCCTGACGCAGTTCAACCTCAACTCTTATTGCAAATATTTCCATTTTAGTGGGAACAGTGTGTGGAACCTAACTGATTATTTTTAAATGATTCAGAATTTTGCTTGTCAGACATTTTCAGCTTCAGTCTTCAAATGAGTTACAGTGAAATAAACATTGGGTTAAAGGCGGTCAGGAGCCCAAAACAGACTTGGAAAATGATTTGTTTTTTAAAAACAAAGACCTTAATGTGTCTTGCTCTTTCTCTTACATGTGTACCAAAATAAGTTAACTGAAGATTTTAGTTCATGTTAATTTTTGGTCAATCTGTAAGGAGGATAATATTGGACAAATTTTCTGTTGTTATTGTCCAGACAGGTGGCTTTTCCCCTTCCTATTCAAAGATTCAGTCCCAAATTGAATATTTGTAATAAATATTTCTGTCATTCTAATAATATTTTCCCAAGAAGTGGGCTTTCATCACTGGAGAACATCCTTTGTCATCCTTTGTCCTTCAATTCCAGACATTGGCCAGATGGCCCCAGCTCCTCTGCTGGTGTCTGCAGGGTTGGTAATCTTGAGGGTCCATTCTGAGTCATCTTGCCCAATTGGTTGGCAGATGCCCAGCTCAGATCCTCTGTCATCCTGGTGATTCACCTCTTGTCAGTGAAGAGCATCAGCATGATACCGAAGATTTCTATGGCTGTGACCTTATGCAAATAATAGGATGCCTGGAGTTATTTACCCTCCTCTTTACAAGATCTCTCCCCACAACTCTTCTCCTACCTTTCCTTTCTCCCAACCTTGTGACTTTGATGGTATTTTAAATATTCTACTACATGGAATATTCCTTATTTTATTTGCTTTTAATCTTTTAGTTTCTTTTACCCCATTCCATATTGCCTTTATTTTTGCGGGCTTTTAATTTAAATACTTACATTGAGGTCTTTGATAGTACCTGTCTTTCTCACTCAAGGTCTGAACCAATTGAGAAATGGTAAAGTGGGTAGAAAGCCAAAATATCTCTGATGCTGATAAAGACGGGTTGTGGAATGGAGCTTGGTATTAGAGCCCCAATGGGTTTGTGCACTCACGCTCCTCAGCCTAGCTCTTGAAACAGTCAATCCCAGGGATAGTCGGAATCAGCAGATCAGGTGCTTTTCTTGGGTCCCTGCCTTCCACTGTTCCAGGGGAATGGAAAGAAGAAAGACTTCCAATCCCCATTGGTAGAGAAATGTACACCAATCTCTATTGGCTATTAACCTCATGTGTGAGAAGAATGAAAAGATGAGGGGGAAAGGGCAAGAAGTACATAAAGAAAATCCTTAATAGCAGCTAAAAGAATTGGGAAAAAGAGCTCTCCTCTAGCATCTTACTTTTTCTCTTCTTCAAAATAGAAATAGATTTTTAATGGTTTTAGATTTAATATATCTACTGAACTTTTATGTAATCATTAGCCATTTTGCTATATCAAGATGTAAAACAGTATGTCAAATATGAAGAGTTCCCAAGAAACTCTTACTAGTGGTTACCTATAGGGAGTAGGTGTTGGGAGGGGAAGAGAATGTTACTTTGACTATTATTTACTTCTGTACTATTGGAATATTTTTACAGTATACATATATCCTTTCAAATGAAAGTTTAGAAAGTAATATATACTACTGTTAAAAATAAACCTTATATTTAAAAAATAAAGATATATGTATATTCTTATTTAAAATACAGTATTAAGCTTGATTAATGAAAACAGGTAGTTCTTGTCCTCAAAACGTATAGCCTGAGTAGAGAAAGTTGTTGGGTCACCAACCTGATAGCTTTCCTTTTGAATTCATATTGTCTCAGGTCATAAACTGTCTCTATCATCTACTCCATTAATAAAATATTTTAGATTAAAATAAATCTTTTTGGAGAAGTTAAAATTGTCCCCTTTTGGAAAAGTTTAGTATTCCTGTACATTGCCCTGTACTCCCAAGCAAGCCTTAGGCTTTCTGTAAATTAAATATAAGTGGGTTTAGATATGAATGTAGGGAGAAATATTTCAATAAGATGCTGTACTTTTTAAATTGACACTGAAAGGTGTATGCCACTACTTGAAAAAAAATTATTTCGTCCTTTTATATAGAAAAAGAGGCAAAAGAGAAAGAAACACTGATTACTATCATGAAGACACTGATTGACTTTGTGAAGATGATGGTCAAGTATGGCACAATATCTCCAGAAGAAGGTGTTTCCTACCTTGGTGAGAATCCTATCTGTTTTGTTTTTACTGTGGTTAGTCTTCATCATCCAAAGTGAGTTAGGGATTTGGCAATAATTACTTCACTACTCTGATAATTTATGCCAAAATAGTCTGAATTATCTGGGTAACCAGAATTGCCCAGCTTGGTAATGCATATTAAAAAAATTAATCAGAAGTTTTAATCAACTTTTAATCTTTATAGATCCAGTTTGAGTACAAACATTTCACATTTGTTGTTATTTTGTCCTGCTAACACAGAGACAATTTTATTAAAATTGAGCTTATTATTTTTTTTAGTTATATTTGAATGGTCAGTATTAAGAGAGTCTTGACTTTAACCAGTGAGATTTGTGTGTGAATAGGAGGAAAGAGCACTCTTCTAGGGAGCCCTTACAACTGAACTTCTGAGGCCCAGCTGTCTCAGACCAGCTCTGTCATGTGGACAAAGGCAAATGCCTCAGTTTCCACATCTTTTAAATAAAGGACTTTGTTATCTATAACAGGGACCAGTACGGTAAACTACTGCTCATGGACCAAATCCGGCCCATAGCCTATTTTTGTATAGTACACAAGCTAAGGATGACTTTTGCATTTTCAAATGGTTAAAAAAATCAAAAGAATAGTATTTTGTGACACAATAAAACTATGTAGAATTCAGATTTCAGTGTTTATAGATGAAGTTTTATTGGAACATAGCCATGCACATTTGTTTTAGTATCTATGTTTTATGATACAATAAAAGAATTGAATAGTTGAGACCATATGGCTCAAAAAGCCAAAAATATTCACTATCTGGCCCTTAAAGACAAAGCTTGTCAACCCTTGATTCCTGGAACTTTATAAGTAAGCTTGGACATTTTTTGATTCTGCATGTAAGTTGTAGTTGCTGTTGTTTGAAGTCTTTTATTTTCCTGCTTGGTTTAGTTAATCAACAAATACCATTTACCCCTGATGTCCTTCGGGCAAGATGACTTCACAACCCTTTTCTCTGATCTTTGATGAGGGAGCGAGGGAGAATTAAACAGAAGAGAAAATCTCATAGCACCAAACAATCTAGAATTATTCTGTATGAACTCAATTTCTTTCTACATAAAAAGAGTTGTACTGTTTTTTTCTAATTATAAAAGAGCACATTTTTTTAAGCAGTCAATGCAAAAAGGTAGTGAAAAAAATCACTCATAATACCAGCATTCAGGTAATATTTTGGTTTATGTCTTTTCAGGTATTTTCTGTGTGTGTGTGTGTGTGTGTGTGTGTGTGTGTGTGTGTGTGTACAGGCACACATGTATATCTACATCATTCTTTTAAAAAATAGATGCTTTTACTGATTTTAGAGAGAGAGGAAGGGAGAAGGAGAGAAAGCCCCCTACTGGGGATCAAGCCAGCAACCCAGGCATGTGCCCTGACCAGGAATCTAACCAGTGACCTTTCGGTCCATAGGACGTCACTCAACCAACTGAGCCATTCTGGCTGGGACCTATGTCATTTTTTTCTTTTATCTTACTTAACAAAAACATGGATTCATGCTATATACACAGTGCTTTGTGGACCACTTACTCACTTAACAGTAGATCAAAAACTGTTTCAAATCAGTCATTGTTTCATACCAATGCCCCATGGCTCAGAACTTTCACACTTTAATCCTTTTTTATGGAAATAAATTAGACATGCCACAAGGCTTATGTACAAGGTAGATATTTCCACTACTGTTTATGGCTATACTGTCCAATATGATAACCATTAACCACATGTTGCTAAGTAATCAAGCCCAGCCAGCATGGCTCAGTGATTGAGCGTTGACTTATGAACCAGGAGGTCACGGTTTGATTCCCAGTCAGGGCACATGCCCAGGTTGTGGGCTTGATCTCCAGTGTGGGGCCTGCAGGAGGCAGCCAATCAATGACTCTCTCTCATCATTGATGTTTCTCTCTCCCTCTCCATTCCTCTCTGAAATCAATAAAAATATATTTTAAAATAATAAAAATTTAAAAAATAAAATGGAAAGTAATTAAAATTAAACAAAATTTATTTATTTTTATTTATTAAATTGATTGGGGTGACATTGGTCAACATGAACATAACACTTTCATGTATGGGATTTTTTGTTACAGATCTGTATATTGCACCATGTACCCACCACCCCAAGTCAAATCTTCTCCTGTCACCTATATTAAGACTCCCTTCTCCCCCTACCCCCTGCCATCTGGCAACCACCACACTGCTGTTTGTGTTCATGAGTTTCAGTTTACATCAGTTTTATGAATGAAATCATATAGTTCTTAGCTTTTACTGACTGACTTATTTCACTTAGCATAATGTTCTCAAGGTCCATCCATGTTGTTGCAAATGGCGCTATTTCATCCTTTCTTATGGCTGAGTAGTATTCAATTGTGTATATGTACAACATCTTCTTTATCAAGTCCTATCGCGGGACACTTTGGTTTTTCCAATGTCTTAGCCACTGTGAATAATGCTGCAATGAACATAGGGGTAATATATATCTTTGCGAACACATGATTTCTAGTTTTGGGGTATATACCCAGGAAAGGGAAATTTTTAAATCTAGTTTTTCATATAGTGGGCACATTTTAAGTGCTCAATTGCTACATGTAAGAATAAAACAGTGTAAATAACCTAGATACTCCACAAGAGGAAAATATCTAAAATAAATTATTTAGTTATTCTTATGTTAAACTATTTAAATTTTACTTTCAAATGTTTGTGTTTTTAATAATTGTATGTTCATTACATATGCAATGTAAACATTGTTGATAAAGATTAATGACAGGAGGAAATAGTCATGATATGCTATTCAATGCTTAAAGCCATTTAGAATGTGTTAAAAAATGAATGTATGTATAGAACGTTGGACAGAAATATACCAAAATGTGACCTGGAATAAAACAGACTGCATCATACAATAGAATATACTGGTTTTCTTCTCAAAAGAGGCATGGGATACAATGGAAGGGAGAGTTTACTTGGAGAGAAATAATTTTAAGTAAAGCAAATAGCAAAAAAGGCCTACCCTATTAGTGAGATGGATATGTGGCTGGTTGAATAACTGAATACAGAATGTAGATTCTAATGCATTTTCTACCTTGAGCTGGTTAGAGTCTAGATTCATGTCTAGTAACATCTCTGTGATGTTACTCCAAAGGGCATAGTTAGGACAAAGACAAGGATAAAGATTTCACTTGATAAGAATAGGGAAATCCTCACCCTTATGACTACCTAACAATAGGACTAGCTGTCTCATGAATTAATGAGGGCCCTAAATGATGGAAATCCAACTCTTTGGCTTCATGAAAAGAAAATGTAATTGCCTCATGTAACTGAAAGGTCCAGGGTTAGGGGTGGCCTGGCTTCAGGTTTGTGAAGTCTACCACTAGTGTGAGGAAGAGTCTATTACTCTCCATCTCACAGCTCTGACTTTCCATATTTTCATTTTAAACAAGTGGTTCCTTTATAAGAACAAGATGGCTAGCACAGCTCCAATCTCACATCCTCACAGAACAACAATCCCAGTAGGAAGAGAACCTCTTTCTGCCAATGGTTCTAGCATTGAATCTAATTGGCCTGTCTTGAGTCATGTTCTTCTCCTTGAACCAATCACTGTAGCCCAGGAGGTGGAAGTCCCTGAAGACCCCCACTTGGGCCAAATGTGCTGAGAGCGGGAGAGGTGTGGGTTCTCCAAAGGAAAACTAAGGCGTAGTTACCAGAAGGTGTTGAGTAGGCCAAAACCACGGTGTTCATTATAGGTTTCAACCCTATATGTTCTAGCAGTGGCCATAAAAATATGGAAGGAACTTCTGCAATTAACTGAGTAAGCGGCTGAACCTGAGATCTCAGATAGTATTCTTTATTTTCCTGAGAGTCTAGAAATAAAATCCATGTCAAATCATCTTTCTAGCAGTGTCAATATTATGAAATTCCTGTTGTGATATTTTTGGTGAAATTTAAACATTTTTAGTAGAAATTTGATAACATCTTTCAGGAAATAAAATTATATTTTTCCCCTCCTCCCTCAAGAAAACCTGGATGAAACCATTGCTCTTCAGACCAAGAACAAGCTAGAAAAAAATGTTACTGACAATAAAAGCAAGCTTTTCTCAGGTATGATTTATTTAACAATTTTTCTAGCTTTTAACACAACAATCCTTTTGAATGATAAATAATGAGCTTCAGTTAGCATTGATAAAGAAGTATAGATTTTTTTAAAGTTTTAAAATCTGAAATCCAACCATAGGATTAAAGAGCTACAACCTTGGTTATTTTGTGGCCAGCCTCAGCACAGAAATCTGATCCCGAGAAGCCTTAGAAATCAATGTACACCTTTACTTAAGATTCTTAGGAGGTGATCAAGGCCCCAAACAACTGCCATAGTCCCAAATTCTTAGGTGCTATTCTGAGCAATAAGCTGTTCTTCAAATATACAACAAAGTAGAGATTGGGCAGCTACAGACTTATTTGCATTTTGAATCAAGACTCAAATTTACGTTGGGACCTGACATATCCCACTTAATTGCCTACATTAATTAAAGTAAGGAAAATAATCCATGGCTCTAGTGACACAGTGTGGCAGAAGAGAAAGAACATTAAACCAAAAACCAGAAAGCTGGGAGGTTGGCCCAGCTCTTCTGCTAACTCAGTGGGTGACTGTGGCACATCTCTCCCCTCTCTGGGCCTCAGTTTCCCCCTCTGTGAAATGGGAGGAGGGAGATGGAGTAGATAATCACTAAGATCTCTTTCAGCTAAAAAAAAAATGACCTAAACTCAAACTGTACTTTTTTAATAGTTTATTTCTACATTAGGAATTAATTAATGGATAGGGAGTAGGGTTATAACAACAGTGCACAATCTGATTACAGCGCCATCAATGAAGAGTCATGAAGAAACAGACAGTACCAAGGAAGAAGCAGCTAAGATGGAAAAGGAATATGGAACCTTGAAGGATTCCACAAAAGATGATAACCCCAGAGGAAAAACAGATGAGCCAAAAGGTATGGAATTGACAGCTCTAGATTGGCAATGAAATTGGGGAAGCAAAAACTTTCAACACACCTGGAAGGGTGATCCATAAATCAAATCCCACCAAATAAGAGAAATTAACATCATCCGTATAGAAAAGATTGAGCAATCATTTCTTCTAATGTTCTTGAGTGTCCTGGGATTGCAAATTGGTTTTATCTTTTTGATGGTCTTTATTTTTTTAATTTAAATTCTTTATATTTTAAAGTATTACATAAGTCTCCTTTTCCCCTCATTGTCCTCTTCCCAGCCGCTCCCACCCCCCAGCACATGCCCTCATCCCCCTACTGTCTGTGTCCATTGGTTATGCTCATATGCATGCATACAAGTCCTTTGGTTGATCTCTTACACCCCACTGTCCCTGCCTTCCCTCTTTGGTTGGACAGTCTATTTGATGCTTTTATGTCTCTGGCTCTGTTTTTGTTCATCAGTGTATGTTGTTCATCATATTCCACAAATGAGTGAGATTATGTGATATTTATCTTTCGCCAACTGGCTTATTTCATTTAGCATAATGCTCTCTAGGTCCATCCATGCTGTTGCAAATGGTAAGAGTTCCTTCTTTTTTACAGCAGTGTAATATTCCAGTGTGTAGATGCACCACTGTTTTTTAATCCACTCATCCGCTGATGGGCACTTAGGCTGTTTCCAAATCTTAGTTATGGTGAATTGTGCTGCTATGAACATAGGGGTGCATATATCTTTTCTGATTGGTGTTTCTGAGTTTTTGGGATATATTCCTAGAAGTGGGATTACTGAGTCAAATGGAAGTTCCATTTTTCATTTTTTGAGGAAACTCCATACTGTTTTCCACAGTGGCTGCACCAGTCTGCATTCCCACCAGCAGTGCACGAGGGTTCCTTTTTCTCTGCATCCTTGTCAGCATTTGTCATTTGTTGATTTGTTGATGATAGCCATTCTGACAGGTGTGAGGTGGTACCTCATTGTCATTTTGATTTGCATCCCTTGCAAATTAGTGACTTTGAGCATGTTTTCATATGTCTCTTGGCCTTCCTTGTGACCTCTTTCGAAAAGTGTCTATTTAGGTCCTTTGCCCATTTTTTGATTGGATTGTTTATCTTCCTTTTGTTAAGTTGTATGAATTCCCTATAAATTTTGGAGATTAAACCCTTATCAGAGATAACATTGGCAAATATGTTCTCCCATGCAGTGGGCTTTCCTGTTGTTTTGTTGATGGTTTCTTTTGCTGTTCAGAAGCTTTTTATTTTGATGTAGTCCCATTTGTTTATTTTCTCCTTAGTTTCCATTGCCCTAGTATCTGTATCGGTAAAGATATTGCTAGGACATATGTCTGATATTTTGCTGCCTATGGATTCTTCTAAGATGTTTATGGTTTCCTATCTTACGTTTAAGTCCTTTATCCATTTTGAGTTCATTTTTGTGTATGGTGTAAGTTGGTGGTCTAGTTTCAGTTTTTTGCATGTATCTGTCCAATTTTCCCAACACCATTTATTAAAGAGACTGTCTTGACTCCACTGTATGGTCTTGCCTCCTTTGTCAAATATTAATTGAGCGTAATGGCTTGGGTTGATTTCTGGGTTCTCTGTTCTGTTTCATTGGTCTACTAGTATATGTCTGTCCTTGTGCCAGTACCAGGCAGTTTTGAGAACAGTGGCATTGTAATATAGCTTGATATCTGGTATTGTGATCCCTCCAACTTTGTTCTTCTTTCTCAGGATTGCTGAGACTATTTGGGGTCTTTTTTTTTATTACATATAAATTTTTGGAGAGTTTGTTCTAGGTCTGTGAAATATGCTGTTGGTATCTTACTGGGGACTGCATTGAATCTATAGATTGCTTTAGGTAGTATGAACATTTTAATGATGTTGATTCTACCAATCCATGAACATGGTATATTCTTCCATTTGTTTATGTCTTTCTCTATCTCTTTTTTCAACGTCCTGCAGTTTTCCGAATACAGGTCTTTTACCTCCTTAGACAAGTATTCCTAGGTATCTTTTTTTGTTGTTGTTGCAATGGTAAATGGGATTTTTTTTTTTAGCTTCTCTTTCTGTGAGTTCATTGGCCTATATAATAAAAGCCTAATATGCAAATTGCCCCCTTGGGTGGTCATTCGACCGGGAGTTCGACCACTCGCTATGATGTGTGCTGACCACCAGGGGGCGGCGTGGAATATGGCAGGCACCAGCGATGTGGCATTGGCAGTGGGCAACAGTGGAGGCACTGCCAGCCCCGGTGAGCGGGACCATGGTGGGATGGTGGAGCAGGTGAGTGGGTGGTGCCAGGCCAAGACGGGTGTGAACGGGGACCTGATTGCCCCACCAATCACCCCTCAGATGGCGACCAGCGGCAGGAGGCCAGGCCGCTGCCCAGCTCCCAGGTGCTGAGGGAGCTGAGTGGTGGGTCCCGGTCCTGGTGGAGCAGGTGAGGGGGCGGCACCAGGCCAAGGCGGGGTGCCAGGCAGGGCTGCAGGGCTGCGAGGCTGGGGGCAAGAGCTGGGGCATCCCTGGAATAAATCCCACTTCATCATGGTGTATAATCTTTTTAATATATTGCTGGATATTATTTGCTAATATTTTGTTGAGTATTTTAGCATCTATGTTCATCAGGGATATTGACCTGTAATTCTCTTATCTGGTTTTGGAATTAAGATAATGCTGGCCTCATAAAAAGAGTTTGGAAGTGTTCCTTCCTCTTGGATTTTTAGAAATAGTTGAGGAGTATAGGTGTTAGTTCTTCTTTGAATGTTTGGAAAAACTCCCCTGTGAAGCCGTCTGGACCTGGGCTTTTGTTTGCTAAGAGTTTTTTGATTACTGCTTCTATTTCATCTGTTGTTATTGGCCTATTCAGGTTTGCTGATTCCTCCTGATTCAGTTTTGGGAGATTATATTTTTCCAGGAATTTGTCTATTTCATCCACATTGTTGAGCTTATTGGCATATAGTTGTTCATAGTATTTTCTTATAATCCTTTGTATTTCTGTGGTGTCAGTGGTTACTTCTCCACTTTCATTTCTGATTTTATTTATTTGTGTCCTCTCTCTTTGTTTCTTGATGAGTCTGGCTAAAGGTTTATCAATTTTGTTTATCCTTTCAAAGAACCAGCTCTTGGTTTCATTGATTTTTTTTTAGTCTCTATGTTATTTATTTCTGCTCTAATCTTTATTATTTCCTTCCTTCTACTTACTCTGAGCTTTTCTTGTTGTTCTCTTTCTAGTTCTTTAAGTTGTAGGGTTAAATAGTTTATTACTGATTTTTCTTGTTTTTTGAGGTATGCCTGTAGTGCTATGAACTTCCCTCTTAGGACTGCTTTTGCTGTGTCCCAGAGATTTTGAGTTGTTGAGTGTTCATTTTCATTTGTTTCCAGGAAGTTATTTCTATCTTGATCTTGTTGGTAATCCATTCATTGTTTAATAACATGCTATTTAGCCTCCATGTATTTGAATGGTTTGGGGTGTTTTTACTGTAGTTGATTTCTAATTTCATTCCACTGTGATCTGAGAAGATGCTTGATATGATTTCAACTTATAGAGATTTGTTGTTTTTTAGTGTCCAATGGACTTTTGTACTTGGGGAGGAATACTCATGAGTTCTGGTACTTTTTTAAAATATATATATTGGGGATCGAGTCCACAACCTGGGCATGTGCCCTGACCAGGAATCAAACTGTGACCACCGGGTTCATAGGTCGACACTCAACCACTGAGTCACACTGGCAGGGCTTGGGTTTTGTTTGTTTTTTTGTAGAAAATATAGAGACCTGAACTGCGTTATGTGGGTTCAAATGAATGTTGATGTTGGCCAAAGGTACTGCTTCTTTTTCAGTTATTTTGGGACTTTTTTGAGACAGGGCTGAAAAAGAAATTTTTTCTTAATATATCAAGTTCATGTTGATTTTTCCTATCTTATGAAGTTTTATATTATTGTATCCTCCTTTTCTCTGGTATGGATTTCAATGACATTCACAATTTTCTCCTATGTTGACATAGCTGACATATTAAGTCTAATTGTTTGTTAGTGCCCTGTGTTAAGAAAGGTTATGATGCTGCATCTGGGCTTAAGAGGAAAGAATATTGGAATTATTAATTAATAATCATCAATTGTGGACATTGGACAGGGGAATTGGTGAGGGACATACCATGTTTGCTGACTCTGTAGACCAATCATGTTGTCTTGATACTTCTACTCAACCTTTGACCCACTTTAGATCAGTGACAAACTTTTCTTTAATATATATTTTTTGGAAATTGTGGTAAAAAAAAATATATATATATATATATAAATAAAATTTACCATCTTAACCTTTTTATTTAAGTAATTCTTGTTTTAATCTTCACTGAAGATATGCTTGTATTGATTTTAGAGAGAGGGAAAGGGGGAGAGAGAGAAACATCAATTGGTTGCCTCTCATATGTGCCCCAACTGGGGGATGGAACCCGCAACCTAGGTATGTGCCCTGACTGGGAATCAAACCCATGACCTTTGGGTGTATAGGACATCACTCCATCCAACTGAACCACCCACGAGGGCACCATCTTAACCATTTTTAAATGTACAGTTCAGTGGCATACAGTATATTCATATTATTGTGCTGCCATCACCATCTATTTTCAGAACTCTTTTCAGGCAAAACTGAAACTCTACTCATGTCCCCCTTCCTCCCCGGCCCCTGGCAACCATTCTACTTTCTGACTCTGGATTTGACTAATTTAAGTACCTCATATGAGTAAAATCATACAGTATTTGTTCTTTTGTGATTGGCTTACTATACTGAGCATAATGTTCTGAAGGTTCATCTATCTTGTAGCATGTGTCAGAATTTCCTTCCTGTATAAGGCTGAATAATATTCCATTGAATGTATGTACATTTTGTTTATACATCCATTTATCAATGGACACTTGGGTTGCTTCTACCTTTTGGATATTGTGAACAGTGCTGCTGTGATTCCTTGAAATCCTACATTCAATTTGAGGGGGTGGGGGGATATTCCA